CCTGGTACAAGCCAGGATGCCATTGGCCTTCTTGGCCACCTGGGCACACTGCTGGCTCATGTTCAGCTGGCTGTTGATCAACACCCCAAGGTCCTTTTCCACCAGGCAGCTTTCCAGCCACTCCTCCCCAAGCCTGTAGCGTTGCATGGGGTTGGTGTGACCGAAGGGCAGGACCCGGCATTTGGCCTTGTTGAACCTCATACAGTTGACCTCAGCCCATTGACTCAGTCTGTCCAGATCCCTCTGCAGAGCCCTCCCACCCTCAAGCAGATCGACACTCCCGCCCAGCTTGGTGTCATCTGCAAACTTACTGAGGATGCCCTCAATCCCCTCATCCAGATCATTGATAAAGAAGTTAAACAAGACTGGATCCAAAACCGAGCCTGGGGACCACTACTTGTGACTGGCCACCAGCTGGATTTAACTCCATTCATGACCACTCTCTGTGCTCAGTCATTCAGCCAGTTCTTTATCCAGTGAAGAGTACACCCATCCAAACCATGGGCATCTAGTTTCTCTAGGTGGATGCTGTGGGGAACAGCGTCAAAGGCCTTACTAAAGTCCAGGTAGACAATATCCACAGCCTTTCCCTCATCCAGTAGGCGGGTCACCTGGTCATACAAGGAGATCAAGTTGGTCAAGCAGGACCAGCCTTTCATGAACCCATGCTGGCTGGGTCTGATCCTCTGGTTGTCCTTCACATGCCTGGTGAGCGCACTCAGGATGAATCGCTCCATAATCTTGCCTGGCACCGAGGTCAGGCTGACAGGCCTGTGGTTCCCAGGATTCTCCTTCCAGTCCTTCTTGTAGATGAGTGTCACACTGGTGATTCTCCAGTCATCTGGGACCTCCCCTGTTAGCCAGGACTGCTGACAGATGATGGACAGTGGCTTGGCCAGCTCCTCCGCCAGTTCCCTCAGCACTCTTGGGTGGATCCCATCTGGTCCCACAGACTTGTAAGTGTCCAGGTGGCATAGCAGGTCATTAACTGCTTCCTCCTGGATCATGGGAGGTTCATTCCACACTACTTCCCTATCTTCCAGCACTGGCGGCTGACTACCCTGGGAATAACCAGTCTGACTATTAAGGACTGAGGAGAAGAAGGCATTAAGTACCTCAGCCTTTTCCTCATCCTTGTTGGCAATATTCCCCCTCGCATCTAATAAGGGATGGAGACTCTCCTTGGCCCTCTTTTTGTTGTTGATGTATTTTTAAAAACATTTTTTGTTGTCCCTTACAACACAAGTAGTGCAACTTGGGCAGGAAGAATCAGTATTTATCAGCAAGTTCCAACCCAGCAAAGCATCAGATACACGGTCAATGTTGAACAATATCCTTCTGCTGGTTAAGTAAGGACTAGTGCATGGACACACTCAGGCACATGGCTGAAGTGGGCACCTGGCCTCTATATACATAGTTATTTTCAAGCAATTCCTATCGAAGCATAAACACATGGAGGTGCTAAAATTAAATTCAAGATGTTTGAAGAAAAAGCCAACATCTTTTATTTTTTCTCAGGGATTTTTTTCCAAGTATAAAACCCATCTTGCTAGCTGAAATCCTGTCTTGGATTGTGATGCTGAGTGAAACTGAAGACAGGATGACATGGAAACGGCTTCTGTGAGAGGAAGACTTCTCCTTGTAAGCCTATTTATCTTCTCTTCCAGTTGGATTTCGAAATTCAATCTCTTACTGAGATCCCCAAGTAATCTTCTCTCTCAAATCCTATATTTGAAGGTAATTACAAAATGTCCTACGAAACTAGCCAGGGAGACGTATGTCTCTTCCAGCTTGAGAACAAAATCATTCCTGTTTTCCATTTTTTGAATCCTGAGATTCAAAAGCATTCAGTCAATATAGACAGGTTTAATTACTCCTTCAACTTTCTAGTAACTATCCTTAACACCCACACCCCTCTCTGCTCAGAACGTCTGCGCCTCCAGAAACCAGCTTACTTGAGAGCTGTGCTGGGACCATAACGAAGTCATCTGTGTCGCAGGACGAATTCTTACTGCTGCTTCCAGCAGAGTCCTTCGATCCATGCAGAAAGCCGGGGGAATCCTGGGTAGGAGACGCCAGCGCCTTCTCCTGCAGCTGCTGCTGCATCTCTCCAAGGGACTGCTAATGCAAGAAGAAAACAAACACTGGCTTCAGCACAGCTACTTCATCATTCTGCTCGATCCCTCAAACTGAGCTGTACAAGGCTACAAGCAACATTTTGCTGACAAACCAGCGCTGATAGTTTGCCAGAAGCAGCTGTTTAGTTCACTGAAAAGGAACAGCCTTTTATGTCCATGTCAGAACAACACATCTCCTGTTACACAAAACATACGACCAGCGTGTCTGATGCTCCCCAGATAAGAAAAATTCACTTGAGGTATTACATCCTTCTGCTAAGGCTTTCTGGATCAACCACGCATTTTCTACCCACTCAATTCAGTACAGCCACAAAACAGAGCAGAGCCTTCAGAGGTGTTTTTGGTTGGTCTTTCAGCTTACCTTTTTTTAATCTGTTTTCAAACATTACACATCTGGTCTCTATTCACGCTTTTGCACTAAGCAGCACTCGGGAACATGTACATAAGTGTCCAGGCACTTTTGGGACAACCCTGTTTTGCTGTAGTGCTGATAAGGAGTTAAAGAATGGTCTGAAGGAGACGTAGCATTCAAGAGATGAACACCTCGGCCATCAGAAGCAGGACAGAACTTGAGAAGTCCCATTTTCCCTTTGCCTTCAGCCAAACGATAGATAGCCCCACAATCCTCACGTTTTACAAGGAAATGGAGGAGGCTGGATGGTTTAAGAAAGCTTTGAGACAGCTGAACTGCCCACTGAGCAGGTCACAGACAACCTTTATCCTAATGCATGTTTCAGCTGAGAAATACTTGAATTCCCTTTCACTTGGGCCCTATTTAGACCTTGTTCGCGCCCCAGAGACTCTCCTGCTGTCCCAGTGGGGGCTGATTCTCACCGTACACACAGTACATACAAGCAGAAGCAATCTTGCGCTATCAAAGTTGTCTCTTTTCCACCCAACCTGCTAGCTCTGCCCTGCAGACACGGGTTTTTTCACATGCCAAGCCAGCACACCTCCCTCGGCAAAACTGCAACAGGCAGAGCAGGACCGGTGCAGTACCCTTCTAAGGCGGGGTCCTCCCAAGTCTGGCAGTGAGTCTGCACCATCCCTGAGCTTCCCAAACCAGGAAAGCTCAGGGGAGAGAGTTTGCTTTTTGCACCACCTGCCCATTCCTGGAGCTTTATGGTCAGGAGAGCCTCAGCCAACAACCCTCTACCCAGGGCTGCAGGAGGGAAGGTGCTTTTGGAGATAAAGTTATGCAACCATCAGAGGAGAGCAGACCTCTCCCCTCTGTTCAGCCCACATCATAAGCAGCTGCACCACCTTCAGACAGTGCCTCTCAGCCTTTCCGAGACCAGGCCCTCACTGCAGATACAATCTCTTCCATGAACTTGGAAAGAAAGATTCAGCCATGGCACTCCTTGAAGGAGGATGAGAAGCCTTGGCCCAGTGAAACTCAGAGCAAAAAAGCAGCGGTTCCAGGGAGGAACAAATTCAGACTTTTTCCCTTCCCCTACAGTTCAAAGTCAAAACGCAGTTTTCACCAAGAGCCTCCAAAAACAAGCTCTCAGTTTAGTGAGCTGGAGGAATGTCGCGTCACTGGTCAGTTAACACTCTGCCTTCCAGATAAGTTTTCATCATTTCAGGTAACCAAAGAGAAAACCCGTCAGTTCTGATCATCTCTCAAAAGACTAGTGGACCATGCAGGTCCGGTCTGAGCAAACAGCTTTGCTGAAGGTCCCTCTGTGGCACCTGGGGATGCTGGTCAGACAGGTGGAGGGTCACCTCACGCAGGACGGTGGACACGCTGTCAGGCTGCAGAGACTTTGCCTGAAAACAGAGAACTTGCAGCCAAGTAAGCAGCGCTACACCCTGCATTAGTGACTTGTTTTTGGTTCCATGGAGCTTTCCACCTCTGCCAAGACAAGCTAGTGTCTTATTTCATAAAAGCTTTTCAGATAACAGGCAAATTGAAATATTTCTTGTGGAGAGAAAGACAACCTTCAGGATCCAAACTAAACAGACTGGAGAAGACATTGAACAAAACCCAGGCAGAACTGTTCAGTGACTTGCACCAGAAGACAGCAAAAGCAGAGACCTTGTTTCAAAGCAAGCAAGCAAGGAGACCACGAACCCAAGCAGTGTATCCTCTGAGCTGTACTTACGGGAGGTGATGCCAGGTGGGAAGTAGAGGAGCTGCTGGAGGAACTACCGGAGCCTGAACTGGGGTAAGAAGGCATTGGCACAGAAGCAGCTAAAAACAGCCAAAGACAAAACCAAAACAAGTTGTCATATGAAAATTAATCAACAATAAAAGGTCTTTTTCATCTTTTCCCATGAGGTTTCTCTCATGTACCATCATGTATCTCATGTATCAGATGTGGCCAATTAAAGAAGGACAAAAGAAAAATAAGCAATCTGTTCAGTTACATGATTCACACCCATCCAGTCCTCCACATGCTATTTCACTGTTCTAGCTCTTGGGGTGGAAGGTCTCAGAAGATCTGACCAAGGTCAGATGTCCACTCAACAGCTGCCCTACACAGGTAGCTAGATGGTTTCTGCCCTAAAGAGCCTCCAAAGCATCTTTGCAAATGAAGGGAAAGATAAACAGAAAACTGGACTGAGTTACTCATGTTGGTGGCAGAGGTCAGAAGCTAGACCCGACCCTTACAGTTTCTTCTTTGTCAAACCTTGTGGCTTAGCACACATACATCACGTTAAACACATGCCTTATGCCTGCTGCCCAAACAGTCACCTGGGCACTCCAGGGCACATGCTAGAAAGACATCTACCCCTCCCTGAGAATTAATCATTCCACAAGGAAATAGTTCTTTGCTTCCTACACCTCAACACATTCTCCCTCAGTCACTTTGGCAAGTTAAAGAGGTTTTGCTTATTTAATCTCTTTGTACAGAACTTGTTCCACAGCACTGGCTGTTCTTGCATCCCTTCTTTTTCTGTTCTGTTGTTCAATATAAGAACTGCCCATTTATTAACTTCATTGCTGAAGTGGCTTTTGTAACCCTCACAGAGGCATAAAGCTCACACTGAAAGGACTAGTTAGCATTGACCTTCTGGCAGAAGAGATAATTAAGGTGTCACAGGAGAAAAGAATATTTAACTCCAATGACTCCAAGTGAGGTTCAGTAAATGACTTAGAAGAGCTCTGCTCAACGAGCCAAAGGTAACACTGGCTTTTTAACAGACTTTGAAGTATTTAGTGGTTCAAATTCCCCAGCCCACCTGCACAAGACTGAACGGTGCAGAAGTTGCAGAACCATCCCAGCACCCCCACTTCAAGGCAGTGTGAAGTCAGATTTTACTCTGCAAGTCATTCAAATACCAAAATGGCTAAGACAGAGATCAGAGGCAATGCTTAAGAGAGGAGAGGAACACGTCGCTTTGCTTCTCTTCCATTGTGCTGGCAGAGAATCAGCACCTCATATCAGATTTCTGCCTTTGCAGGATCTGTGCTAGTGACTCCATACTTAATACCAGGAGGGGTAATAACACCTAGAAGAAGAATGCTTCTGTTTGAAGTAAAATGACGTCTGCCATTGACTGCATTAGACACCACAAAGTACTTACTCTGTTCAACCAGCTAGAAAACAAAAAGTACTTCTCTCTCAATTAACCGTTGAAACAGTGTTCTAATGATAAAAGAATGGGAAAATACGCCTTTTAATAAAAGGCTTTGAGAAGTCTTTCCATCTAGCCTTATCAAAGAAGGTTAAAGGATGACTAGACCAGTGTCTCCCAGCAGAAAGAGGGCAATCACTTAGATGCTGAATTCCTCCGTCTGACAGAGAGGTAACAAGATCCAACAACAGGAAAACGAAGCCAAAGAAATGTAGACTTAAAATATGTTTTAACATAAGTAATTAACTGCTGTAACTTTAACCAGGGTCACAGCGATCTCTTCCACCCTTTGCTAACATTAACAAAAACTGAATGTTTTTCTGAAGAGGTCAAGTTCTATTGCAAATAGAGGTGGATTCTGCTGACTGCTGGGGCCTGTGCAGTAGGAAGCCATCGTGGGACGGCCGCATGGGGCCAGTGCGCAGCGCCACTCACACGCGCAGATGCCTTCCCCTCTTGTGTCAGACCGCACCGGCAGCGCTCAGTCCACCAGCATTTTGAGGGTTAGGTCCGTAACGAAAATAAACCTTTCCAAAGCTTTGTGAGAGGCTGCATTTCAGCTTCTGTATCTATTCTATGCTTGATCTTGTGCCCTCCATGGGCTGTGCTGTCAAAACACACTGCCCTGGCTCCCGTAAAGGAACTGGGACTGCAGTGCCCTGCATGTGGGTATTCTGGAAGATGGGTCAGGGCTTGGCATGGAGAGCTACACCACCTGCGTGCCACACGCTCTT